TGCTGTCAGAATTTCAAAAGCAACTTTCTCTGGACAGCAAGTTATGGCCTCCTGGTGAGGAATGTGTGGCTTAAGTGGTAATTACCCTCAGTGGCAACAGGATGTAAAGGGCAAAGATACACACTTACACCTGATCCAGTAAGTTTGAAATAAATGTAGGTTCTGAAATAACTTCAGAGGCTTGCTTACACAACAGAATGTGTGTTGTTGCATAGCCACAAACTCCTTTTTGAGAAAGCTAAGCTCTGGAGAAATAAAAGCATACTATTGAACTGTAAAATGTGCAGACACAGTTTGAATATATGTCCTACATTTCCCGTCCCTGCTTCCATGTGTACCAATGTTCAGGTACTTTGCTATAAACAGTATCTGTCTTATTGGAGAATAAAGCAGGAAGCCTCAAAGCCAGCTTTTTTCCTCCTTAGCTTTTTATTAGTCAACCATTGGGAAGATAACTGTTTCAGGCATAGCCCTACTCTTGAGGAGTTTATAATCTTGTGAAGGGGCAGATAAAAAATAATTAGGGCATAATTAATGTGATCAGTGTAAAACTGATGTCTGTATGAAGCACTGAAACTATGTGTCTGTTTTTCACTCTTTGCCCAAAACTGTTCCTTGAAAAAAAGGAGCAGGAAAAGTGACAGAATCTTTATTTTTGAAAGACATTGAAAAAGCATCTTATTCTGAATGGGATGTATATTCCCACACATACTGTCACTGCCTGATCCTTAACCATCAGATGGTAAGCAACATGGCATTTGGGAGATTTTTTTTTTTTTTTTAATTTAGGGATCAGTAACTTATTTAAGGATCATTTTAGATTAGAACTTTCACCCGCCACCTGGGCTTTTCATCTCTTACTGTGTAAATTATTTTTGGTTTTTGGTTCACTGATATTGTCTTGTTAACTATACTGAGCATATGAAACCCTAATACATCTCTCTCTCTTTTTTTTTTTTGAGACAGTCTCGCACCATCACCCAAGCTGGAGTGCAGTGGTGTGATCACAGGTCACTGTAACCTCTGCCTCCTGTGTTCAAGTGATTCTTATGCCCCAGCCTTGTGAGTAGCTGGGATTACAGATGTGGACCACCATGCCCCGCTTTTTTTTTTTTTTTTTTGTATTTTTGGTAGAGATGGGGTTTCGCCATGTTGGCCAGGCTGGTCTCAAACTCCTGGCCTCAAGTGATCCTCCCGTCTCGGCCTCCCAAAGTGTTGGAATTACACATGTGAGCCACCGTGCCTGGCCTCCTAATAAAGCTTAAACCCTATGCAGCAAATAATATAGTATGTTTTTTCTTAGTTTTTTTTTTTTTTTTACTCTTATAATGAACCAACTTACATTCAGAGTCCAAAGCCAGCATTTGTTCATTTGATATGGGATTCATGATAATTCACAGGTGATATGGCCATCTGGGAGAAATTGTTGGTTGGGATGTTGAAGAAGGGTTCCAGAAGTTGCTGAAACCAATATCCTCCTGATAAACAGGTTTATAAGAGTTTTATTCTTCTAGTAAAATAGTACAAGCAATCCTTCTTGAAATATTTCTATTAATATTACCTGTCTTGAACAGCAGTTTCTGATTTGAATTACCCACCTTGAACCACAGTCTTGTAAGATACCCAGACATTTTATGTATGTATGTATGTATGTATGTATGTATTTATGTATTTAGATGGAGTCTTGCTCTGTCACCCAGGCTGAAGTGCAGTGGCAAGCTCCACCTCCCAGGTTCAAGTGTTTCTCCTGTCTCAGCCTCCCAGGTAGTGGAGATTACAGGTACACACCATCATGCCTGACTAATTTTTGTATTTTTACTAGAGACTGAGTTTCACCGTGTTGGCCAGGCTGGTCCGGAACTCCTGACCTCAAGTGATCTGCCTACCTCGGCCTCCCAAAGGGTTGGGATTACAGGTATGAGCCAACATGCCTCGTCTACCCGGGCATTTTAGATAAATTTAGGCCATACTACGTTATGAGTAGAAGCTATTTGGGGCTGGGTGCAGTGGCTCATGCCTGTAATCCAGCACTTTGGGAAGCTGAGGCAGGATTGCTTGAAGTCAGGAGTTTGAGACCAGTGTGGGGTACATAGCAGGAACTTATCTCTAATAAAAAATTAGCTAGGTCTGGTGGCATGCACCTGACGTTTCAGCTGCTTAAAAGGCTGAGGTGAGAGGATTTCTTTAGCCCAGGAGTTTTGAGGCTGCAGTGAGCTGATTGAGCTACTGACTGCATCCTGGGTGACAGAGGAACATTGTCTCAAACAACAACAAACTCAGTGATTTGGTTTCCAAAACCATATATGTAATAGTAAATGTCTAAATGTTAGCTTAATTAAACTAATTTATATAGGCCTTTTTTGTTGGAATAAAGCATTTGCTTCCATTTTATAATATGGATAATCACATATTAACTCCCACATTTGATCTCATAATTCATGCTTTTATTTTTGTAGGCTATAAGAACTCCTCACTATTAAATTCTTATCAACAAGTCTGGCAGAATTGGGATATCCTTGGCCCACGTTTCTGAGAAGGAATATTACAAAACAATAATTACAGGATATGAGGTATGGCATCTTGAGTTACAAATACTTTTCCAAGTCCTACTTGTTTACATTGAACTCAAATTGACTGTCAAATAAGAATACTGATAAAAGTAAATTGCTACCATAAAAATTTATTTTTAGTATGTAACTGAATGGAATCCTAAAATTCATTATGAATTATCAGTAATATATGAAATCTTATTTTAATAACATTTCCTTTTAAAAAGGAGCTTATAATATAGTTGGTCTTTTTCAAATATCCTATTTAGAAATTTTTTTTTGTCTTTCAGAACATAGAAATTATAACTTTCTATTTTCCAGAAAGGTTTTTTGTTTCTTTTTTTTTTTGAGGGGGGTGGGAATTTCAAAAGAAGGAAATTCTAACAGGATTAAGTTTAGGATAGGTTTATTCTAGTAGGCTTTGTGGCACAGATCCCCTAAATAATTCATCTTAAGACTCCGGTGTATGCCATATATCAAGAAATTAAATTGCCATCAACTGACAAATTTGATACCCTTAAGTATACAGAATGCTACACATAAGTCTTTCCAGTCTTTCAAGGGTTTATTTTCTAAGCTCTTCTATTAAAAAGTATAGGATTGTATATTTTACAGGATTTTTTTTGTTTGAAAGCGACATCTTTAAAATTTCCTGGAAACTCTAAAAAGTGCTTGCTAACTTAAAAAAAAATTGTCTTTAGGTATTTCATGCTAAGTTGGAAGCCTTTTTTATCAAACATGATGAAACCAAATATAGCACAAACCCATAGCTTAAAAAACATTGCCCATGTGATTTTTTGTTGAGAATGAACAATTTTTTCTTGATGCACAGCCTCATTCTACTTTTCTGTATAACTGGATAGTAACTTTTTTGGGGAAAATAAAAATTCAACATATGTTACATTGGTTTGTTGATAACTTTATTTTCAATATGGCTATTTAAAAATTCTTCTTAATGGAGGATTTGAAAAAGCCAACTTTTAATTGAGTTGACAATAATCAAACAATGCAGTTGATATAATGGCTACCGCTTTCAGAGTGACGGCTATGTATGTGTTAGGCATTGTTCTCATGATCATGTATTTATCAACTTTAGTCCTTATAATAACACCGCAAGGTAAGTACTATTAGTCTCTTTCATTTGTAAGGAAAAAGGAAGATTAAAGAGATTTAAGTACCCTGCCTTTTGTCCAGCTAGTAAATTTTCTCAGCAAATATTTGAGAGCATACTTGCTATTGGCCTTGACATTACCATTACCTCTGGGGCTGGGAACACAACTGTGAACAAGACAGACAAGATCCCCATTCTCAAGAAGCTTACATTCCAGTAGTAAAGTCAAGATTGGAATATAATGGTGTTAGACTCAAACTCTTCTTAGCTGCTACTCTTCCCCCATAGTAACACTCCAATAAGATGAATGAAATTGTTTGAGATGGACACTATATACTGGAATATATTGTAATGAAGTAATGTTGGTATATAAACATCCAGATTTATCAATGGAAAAACATTATGACCTAGATGTATGGAGAATGGAAAGCCTATGCTGCATAACAGACATGGCTTATGATTGCCTGATAACATGCAATTCAATAGCAGTAAGACATACTTGCTGTTAACTTTCAAATGGCCTTAATGATCATTATCTCAGTGCATGACCTTACTCTGTCCAGCAAGGTAGCCACAAGCCATTTGTAGCTTTCAAGTACTTGAAATATGGCTAGTGTGACTGAGAAACTACATTTTAAATTTTATTTAATTTTAATTAATTTAAAAAGTGATACTTGATCCAGGTACAAGATTTTTTAAGCATGCTAAAACAACTTGGGTATGTGAATCTCTTTTTTAACTGTACATTTTAGGATATTTAAATACAGATTGAATATTTCTGATAAAAATTTAGCATCCAAATTGAGATGTGCTAAAATGTAAAAATATACACTGGATTTTGAAGACAATATAAAACATAAATATCTCATTAATAATTTAAAAAATACTGATTACATGCTGAAATAATATTTTTGATATATTTGGTTAAATAAAATGTTATTAAAATTAGTTTCAACTGTTTCCTTTTTAAAGTTTTACTTTTAAAAATATGTGTACAGGGCCAGGCATGGTAGCTCATGCCTATAATCCCAGCACTTTGGGAGGCCAAGGTGGGTGGATCAGAGACCAGCCTGGCCAATGTGGTGAAACCCTGTCTCTACTAAGAACACAAAAATTAGCCAGGCATGGTGGCATGTGCCTGTAATTCTAGCTACTTGGGAGGGTGAGGCAGAAGAATTGCTTGAACCTGGGAGGCGGAGGTTGCAATGAGCCAAGATCCTGCCACTGCACTCCAGCCTGGGCAACAGAGAAAAAAAAATGTGTGTACTAGGAAATTTTAAATTACACATATTGTTTGCTTTTATTTGTATCACTCTAAGAAGCCCTGTTGGAGTGTGATCCAAATAATAAATCTTTTATTTTTGGCATCAAAACATTTTCTTATTACACTTCACTGTTCTTTCATAAAAAGCTATGAATTATTTATCACCATTTCTATTCATGCTGTGAAGTTGTTAAGGTCACAGTTGTTGGTCTGCATCTTACAAAAATGGTCTCCAGTCCAAGTAAAGAAATCGTTAGATGTGAGATAGCCCTCCAAAGACTTCACCCTCCTACACATAGTGCTGGGTGTGACAAGCATGCAAGACCTTGACTGTTCTTTACTTGGGTCATTTCTCTGTACCTGTATTGAGTTTGGAGTGAGCATCTGTAAGGGATGGGGTAAAGGGCAGGTTTAATTATTCATGATAAAAAGCAATGAACCCTCCAAGCTCAGTATTTTTTACCTACAACAAAAGCTCATTGTGTATGTAGCTATATTGCATATGGCCACATCATGATGCCCCCGTGGGAACTGAGACAGGGGGAAACAATGAGAATGTGCTGATGCTCATGCTCCTTGTTGTGCCATGAGTTAATAGTCCTTTGTTTCTGTCCCAGGAATCTCATGTCTTCTGTTAGCATCCATGAAAAAGTAACAGGGTAACTACTTAGCTTCTAATTAAAGTAAAATCAAATATAAGACCTGACGGGATGCACTTAAAATTATGTATTTATAGTCATCTTTTGTTGTGGAAAATTACTAGGTTTGATGGAATATAATAATTCTTTTCCATATATAAAATTTTTGTCTTACAATTTAAAAAATTTAACTAACTTATGGAAACCTAGTTTTGATATAAAATTTGGTTTTATATAAAAATGTGGCTGAGAAAATGTTAGCTTAAATATCTTTAAGAATTATGAAATGCAAGAGTCAATATTTGTCCTTATAATAAAAGTATTACATATGCACTTGTATGAACTGTCAGTATATAAGTATGTACATAATACATTTATTTCCCAAGAGTGTTTTTCAGAGTAGTCTTTTAAAAATAGAAAGTGAACATAAGAATTTTGTGGGACTATATTCAAAGGCTTGTAGATTTTGGAGAGAAATAGCTTATCTAATATACAATATATATATATATATTCAGGACAAAAGCAAACATTATAAAAAGTATAAAAATAGGTAAAAAGATACAAGTACAATATAATTTGGTTGGAATTTCAAAGGTGCTTTTTTTTCTTCTCCTTCCCCTTTACCTCAAAAGTTAAAAATACTTTTGAAGCAGCATGTATTGTTGCACTTTTGATTTTTTGTTGTACAGTTAATGAACTTGAGAGTCTGGATGACTGGTGATCATCTATTTGGCCTTCCCATTCTTTTGTTTCTTCTTCTTTGATTAGTAAAGGTTTTCCTAAGGTTTGGCCAACAAGGTTACAGACTTCTTGAGCTTTGCGCCACGCATTCTCAACAGCAACAAGACAGGCTTGCCGTCTTAGGAATTAAATGGAGAGATTATTAATATGACACTCAATGAAATGTAGCACTGGATAGTTTTGTTTAAAGCATAACTTAGTCAAAGATGCACTTAAACTTACCGAAGATTCTCAACAGAACCTGGAGTATGATAGAACTGGGGTGGGCTGATGACAACAGAGCTATCTAGCTTTTCAACAAGAAAGTTACATATATTTTGCATTTTTCCAAATTCAGTAAATGTAATGCAGACCTGTAAATGAAATGACACGATATTATTTTCATGTCTGATGTATTGTTTCAAGAGTTTCTCTAAATGTGAGTAAAAAAAGTAAAGCCAGGTTATGAGGTCCTTTTATAGTATTTAACAGATTTTTAAAAGCCTATTTGATATTAATAACTATTTTGTTCTTTAAGATTTTTGCTTTTGAATTTTCAAACTTATTCTAATATTGTCTTTAATTTTAAAAAATTTATTTTAAGCCAGAGAATTTTAAATGAAATTGGATGAGTTTCACTTAAACCTTATTACTTAGCTAAATTTTAATTCTGGTAACTTTTTCACGATTCCTTTGTCTAATCAATGCCCTTAGCTTCCTAATTAGTAGTATGTCATACTTCACTGCTATCATGAGAAATGTTTCCTCTTCCAATAGTTATGTTCAGATCTAATGTGGAAGCTAATGTATTGTTACTTTTTTACCTTGATCTGTTTAGTGCTGTTAGCAGGGTCTTCTGCCTTTAAATATGTGGAAGTAGTCCTTATATTCAGTAATACTTTAAAACCGTAAACTCTTTGATAAAGAAAACTAAATTTCGTCTTTTTTTATTTTTCTTTTTATTTTTTTAGGAGAAACAAGATCTTGTTTCGTTGTCTAGGCTGGAATGCGTTGGCACAATCATAGCTCACTGCAGCCTCAAACTCCTGGGCTCAAGCGATCCTCCTACCTCAGCCTTCCAAAGTAGGTAGGATTACAGGCATGTACCACCATACCCAGCTAATTAAAACAATTTTTTTTGTAGAGGTGGGAGGTTTCACGATGTCACTGAAGATGGTCTCAAACTCCTGGCCTCAAGCAATTCTCCCACCTCGGCAGTTGTAGGGATGAGCAACCACACCCAGCATAAACCTTTTCTTCTAAAGAACCCTTACACAAGCTCAATATGTAAAACAAAAAGTACAAATATCAGACAATAAACTGGAGTAGCAAAGAGAGACATAAGATAACCTCACCTTCTACAATGCAGACCATCTGTCTTTAATCATAATTTTTTTTTTGAGACAGAGTCTTTTTCTATTTCCCTGGCTGGAGTGCAGTGGTATGATCACAGGCTCACTGCAGCCTCAACCCTGGCTCAGATGATCCTCCTGCCTCAGCCCCCCAAGTAGCTGGGACTACAGGAACGTGCCACCATGCCTAGTGAATTCTATTACTTTTGAAAAAGGTATAGAACTTTGTAAACGACATAACAAAAATTTACCTGTTCCGACACCCCTAAAAATTCCCTCAAGTAACTCCTTTATCAGTTCCTTCCCCAATTCCCAAACCCTGGTAACTACTGATACATTCTCCACTGTTAAAGATTTGCCTTTTTCAGAATGTCATATAAATGGAAGCATATAGGATGTAGTCTTTGAGACCACTTCTTTCATTTAGCATAATGTATTTGCAATTCATCCACATTGTGGCATGATAGTTTTTGTTCCTTTTATGCTGAATAGTATTAATTATATGATCTAATCACAGTTTTTTTTTTTTTAAATCATTTCGGTTTCTTCCAGTTTGGGGCTATTATAAATAAAGATGCTGCTTTTTCAAACTAGTTCTAGATCCTTTGCATTTCCAAATGTATTTTGTAATCAGTTTGTCAATTTCTATTTTTGAAAAGCTGGCTGAGATTTTCATTAGGATTATATAGATCAATTTAGGGAGATCTGATATCTGAAATACTGACTCTTCCAAACCATGAACAAGATTATGTTTCTCCATATTTAAGTCCTCTTTAATTTCTCTCAGCAATGCTTTGCAGTGTTCAGCATACAGGTCTTTCACGTTTATAATAGATTTATCCCTATGTATTTTAATTTTTTTGATGCTTACTAATTCTAATGGCTTTTTTGTAGATTCCATCAAATTTTCTACAAAAATGGTCATGTCGTCCATGCATTAAGACAGTTTCACTTCTTTCCAGCTTTTATTCTTTTTCTAGCTAGAATTTCAAATACAATGGTGAAAGAGGACATGAATGAAGACATCTATCTTTGTCTTGTGCCTGATCTTAGGCACAAAACATTCAGTGTTTCACCATTAAGTATGATATTAGCTATAGGTTTTCATGGATTCTTCTTATCAGTTTGAGGAAAATACCTATTCTTATTTTACTGATAATTTTTACCAGGAATAAATAATGGATTTTGTTAAGTGCTTCTTCGGCATTTATTGAGATGATCGTGTGATTTTTTTCAATCTATTAATATAGTGAATTACATAGACCAATTTCTGAATGTTAACCAACCTGGGATACACCATGCTTGGTCATTATGTATTAATATTATTATTTATACATGCATGTAAAGGATACATATGTGTGTGCATATGTGTATGCATGTATGAGTATAAATCATTAAATTTGATTGGCTAAAATTTAGTTTGTAATTTTTACATGTTTATGATGGATATTGGTCTGTAATTTTCTTTGTTTGTAATTACATTTTTCTGGTTTCGTTATCTTCTGACTTCAAAGAATGAGGAAGGAAATATTTCTTCCTTTTCAGTTTTCCAGAAAAATTTGTATAGATTGGCATGATTTCTTCCTTACACACTTTCTAGTTTCCTTTTAAATTTCTTCTTTGACAAATGGGTTACTGAAAAGTATGTTTTTAAAATTCAGCATATTTGGGGGATTTTCCTGAGACCCTTCTGTTACTGGTTTTTAATTCCACTATGGTCAGAAAACTTTGTATGATACAAATACTTTTTTTTTTTTTTGAGATGGCATCTCGCTTAGTCGCCCAGGCTGGAGTGCAATGGTGCAATCTTGGCTCACTGCAACCTCCACTTTCTGAGTTCAAACAATTCTCCTGTCTTATCCTCCTGAGTAGCTGGGATTACAGGCATGCACCACCACGTGTGGCTAATTTTTGTATTTTTATAAACAGGGTTTCACCATGTTGGCCAGGCTGATCTTGAACTCCTGACCTGAGGTGATCTGCTTGCCTTGGCCTCCCAAAGTGCTGGGATTAGAGGTGTGAGCCACTGTTCCTGGCCAAATACTTTTAAATTTATTAAGGCTTGCTTTATAACCCAGAATACAGTCTACCTTGGCAAATGTTCAATGTGCACTTGAAAGGAATGTGTAGGCTGCTGTTTCTGGAGTGTTCTATAAATGTCAAGCAGGTTGAATTGGTGGATAGTGTTACTCAAATCTGTTATATTCTTACTAATTTTCTGTCGATAGTTTTATCAACTATTGAAAAGGGGACGTATTGAAATCTTCCACAACAACTGTAGACTTACTTATTTTTCCTTGTAGTTCTATTATTTTTGCCTTAAGTATTTTGTAGCTTTATTATAAATATACATATTAAGTACTATATGCCCTTTTCATTAATTTACTCTTTTATCATTATGAAATGACTGTCTTTATCTATGATATTCATTGCCCTGAAATCTACTTTGATTATTACAGCCACTTCAGCTTTCTTTTCATTTATGTTAGCATGGTATATCTTTCTCCATCCCATTACTTTTAACTGATTTATGTCTTCATATTCTAGTGTTCATTGAATTCCTGGGAGTTAATAATCACTTCATTTTTATTTGTGTGCTTTCTTAGTTGTACATGTCCTTCAAACCCTTTGATAAGAGTCATAAAAGTCAAATAAGTAGGGAAAATTAATTGGGTAATCTATGAGTTCCTTTATTATTTTTCTTGGGGATGTTTTACTGAGGCCCTCAGTCCTCCTGTCCCCTAAATCTGGGACAGTCCTTTGCCATTACCTGGGAACTCCTGTTTTTCTCTTTCTTGGTTTACTTCCTCATGTACGGTAGGGAAATGTTTTGAGATCTTGTATATAGGAGTGATGTTCTACATTTTTAACGTCCTTAGAGGGCATTATCCATCAGATCCCGGCCAAATAATGGACAGTGTAACAGTTCCGGCCAGCCCTGTCTGCTGTCCTTTTATTACCTTCTCCTTGATTGTTTTTTGGCTGGGTAAGAATTTCTAGATTAGACATTGTTTTCTCTCAGAATTGGAAGATGTTGCTGTCTTGCCTTTCAGTTTCTGGCTTCCAGTGTTGACAATGAGAGGTCCATTTGCTGTTCAGATTTCTAACCCTTGGTCTGTGAACTATTTTTCTTTCTCTAGAACTTCTGGGGTCATTTTATTCCTGGGGTTCTAACATTTCCAATAATATGCTTTAACGAGTTTTTTGTTGTTGTTGTTGTTCATTGTGTTGGGCACCCACTGGGTCCATTGAATATCAAAATTCAAATATTGCATTTTGGTATTTGGAGAATTTTTTTAAAATTATTTTATTCTCTTTCATTTTCTCTGTGCTCTCTTTTTGGACTTTTAAAAAAAATTATACTTTTAAGTTCTGGGAGACATGTGCAGAACATGCAGTTTTGTTACACAGGTATACACATGCCATGGTGGTTTGCTGCACCCATTAACCCGTCATCTACATTAGGTATTTCTTCAAATGCTATCCCTCCCCAGCCCTCCAGCCCCCGGCAGGCCTTGGTGTGTGATGCTCCCTTCCTGTTCAACTCCCACTTATGAGTAAAAACACGTAGTGTTTGGTTTTTTGTTCTTATGTTAGTTTGCTGAGAATGATGGTTTCCAGCTTCACCCATGTGCCTACAAAGGACATGAACGCATCCTTTTTAATGACTGCTTAGTATTCCATGGTATATATGTGCCACATTTTCCTTATCCAGCCTATCATTGATGGGCATTTAGGTTGGTTCCAAGTCTTTGATATTGTGAATAGTGCTGCAATAAACATATGTGTGCATGTGTCTTTATAACAGAATAATTTATGATCCTTTGGATATATATCCAGTAATGGGTATATACCCAGTAATGGGTCACATGGTATTTCTGATTCTAGATCCTTGAGAAGTGGCCACACTGTCTTCCACAATCGTTGAACTAATTTACACTCCCACCAACAATGAAAAATGTTCTTATTTCTATTTCTCCACTTCCTCTCCAACATCTGTTGCTTCCTGACTTTCTAATGATCACCATTCAAACTGGAGTAAGATGGTATCTCACTGTGGTTTTGATTTGTATTTCTCTAATGACCAGTGATGATAAACTATTTTTCATATGTTTCTTGGCCACATAAATGTTTTCTTTTGAGAAGTGTCTGTTCATATCATTTGCCCACTTTTTGATGGGGTTGTTTGCTTTTTTTCTTGTAAATTTGTGTAAGTTCCTTGTAGATTCTGGATATTAGCCCTTTGTCAGATGAATAGAATGCAAAAATTTTCTCCCATTCTATAGTTGCCTGTTCACTCTGATGATAGTTGTTTTTTTTTTTTTTTTTTTTTGCTGTGTAGAAGCTGTTTAGTTTAATTAGATCCCATTTGTCAATTTTGGCTTTTGTTGCAATTGCTTTGGTGTTTTAGTCATGAAGTCTTTGCCTATGCCTATGTCCTGAGTGGTATTGCCTAGGTTTTCTTCTAGGGTTTTTATGGTTTTAGGTTTTATGTTTAAGTCTTTAATCTTTCTTTCTTTCTTTTTTTTTTTTTCTTGACAGAGTCTCACTCTGTTGCCCAGGCTGGAGTGCAGTGGCATGATCTTGACTCATTGCATCGTCCACCTAATGGGCTCAAGCGATCCTTCCACCACAGCCTCCAAAGTAGCTGGGACTACAGGTGCATGCCTTCATGCCCACCTAATTTTTGTATTTTTTTTGTAGAGACAGTGTTTTGCCATGTTGCCCAGGCTGGTCTGGAACTCCTGGGCTCAAGCAATCTGCCTACCCTGGCCTCTCAAAATGCTGGGATTACAAGCATGAGCCACTGTGCCTGGCGTCATCTAATCTTTTAAAAAATTTATTTAGGCCAGGCTGGGTGGCCCACGTCTGTAATCCCAGCACTTTTCAAGGTTGAGGGAGGCAGATCACTTGAGGTCAGGAGTTTGAGACCAGCCTGGCCAACATGGTAATACCCCGTCTCTATTATAAATACAAAAATTAGCCATGTGCCTGTAATCCCAGCTACTCTGGAGGTTGAGGCAGGAGAATCACTTGAACCTGGGAAGCGGAGGTTGCAATGAGCTGAGATCATGCCACGGCACACCAGTCTGGGTGACAGAGTGAGACTCTGTCTCAAAAAAAAAAAAAAAAATTAGAGCCATATTGAGGTGTAATTTATATATACAAACTGCACATATTTAGAATATACAGTTTGATGAGTTTGGACATATGCATACCTGTGATATCATCACTATAATCAAGACAATAAACCTATCTATCACCTCCAGAATTTTCCTGTGTCCTTTGCTTTGTATATGTGTATGACATTAACACAACATGAGATCTACCCTCTTAACAAATTTTTAAGTGCATAACATTGTGTTAACTATAGGCATTATGCTGTATAGCCCATATCTAGAATTTTTTCATCTGCATAACTAATTTTATACTACCCATTGAGTAAGAAATCCCATTTCCTCTTCCCTCCATTCTTTGGTAACCAGCTTCTATTTTTTGCTTCTATGATTTGATTATTTTAGACTCCTCATGTAAGTGGAATAATGCAGTATTTATCATTCTGTCACTGACGTTTCTCTTAACATAATGTCTTCCAGGCATAGCAATGTTGCAAATGGTAGGATTTCCTTTCTTTTTAAAGGCTGAATAATATTTCACTGTATGTATACAACACATTTTCTTTATCCATCTATCGTCAATGGACATTTGGGTTGCTTCTATAGCTTGGCTATTGTGAATAATGCTGTAATGGACATGCAAGTACAGGTATTTCTTCCAGATCCTAATGTCAGTTCTTTTGGACATACACCCAGAAATGGGATTGCTAGATCATATGGTAGTTCTATTTTTAATTTTTTTGAGGAACCTGTATACTGTTTTCTGTAACGGTTACACCATCATACATTCCTACCTGCAGTGCACAAGCATTCTAATTTTTCCACTTTCTCATCAACATTGTTTTCTGCTTTTTTGATAATAGCCATTCTAACAGGTGTGAGGTTATAGCTCAGTGTAGTTTTGATTTGTATTCCTCAGATAATTAGTGATGCTGAGCACCTTTTTATATACCTTTTGGCCATCTTCTTTTGATAAATGTCTATTCAAGTCCTTCATCCATTTAAAAAATTAGGTTATTTGCTTTTCTCTTACTGAGTTGTAGCAGTCTACCAACCAACTAATCCCATTCCATATATTTAACAGTGCTTAAGAATACTGGTATGTGTTATATGTTAGGCTTTAGTGTTTGCTAAATCCATAGCCACAAAGCCACACATTGTTACTAATACTTAGGTTGGTACATTTTGTATCTTGTGATCCCAATACTCTGGTTTCCACTCACTGCTGGTGCTGACCTAAGGGCAATCATGTATTGGGCTGTGTGATATGATACGAATTGGGCTACCTGGAATCCCTATACCAAATATAATTAGATTCTCTCCTAAGAAATCTGAACACAAAATATTAAAAAGGTAAGTAAAGCAGAACAAAGGGGAACAGAATTTAGCCATATTCTCATTTAGTCACGTTTTAAAACAAGCAGATTTAATGCTCTCTTTCTGCATCTGGAAGGTCAGTCCCTAGAACTACTCAGGGGTTCAAACACATTCCAGTTTTCCATGAACCCTGGCTGTATAGTTGTGGAACTGTTTCCTTTTTCTCATTATTCCCTTGGTACCTTCACAATAAACCTCCTTAACTAAGATAAGTTGCTCCTATCTATATTAATTATAGTCTGAAGTGCTAACAGGTGATAATTACTAGAGGCGTGCTCTAACATACTACCGGCTTTTACCCTCTACAATTTGGATCATACTGCTTTTCATACTGTTTTGAAAGATATTTTTCAGTTTCTACTACTACAAAATAATTTTTGCCAAAGGAATCACTCAAATCATAATGAGTAACTTAAAAATTCCTTGATGTAAAATTTTAAGTGGCGAAATCACAAAATGATTACAGGAAGCATTGGGGCAACAAACAATATGGTGGAAGTTACTTCTCAAGAGTTAAGAATCCAGGGTTCTAATTTCTAATCTAATTCTTGTTATATGACCTTTGAGAAATCTGGACCTAAGTGATTTGAACCTAAGGTCACATCTTTAAAATCAGAAAAATAATGTATTATCCACTTGAGGATAGAAACAGGTGATGGAGATATTTTCTACTTCAAAAGACAAAGATTCTCTCATTTAATATACAAGATTCCAATATAACCCCACTCTTCTTTGTTTCCTGTTACAAGGAGATGCCTCAGAGTAGAAACATACTCCAAAATGTTACAAACAGCAGTCCTGTAACCTAACCATCACTAGAACATATTCTGATTTCACAAAAGCCTACCCATCAGATCTTTAAATATAAGTAAAAAGTATAGGCAGTTGTAGGAACTAAATGTTGTCATTAATTAAGTGTATTGAAAGTAGTTTTATTCTTTTAAATTTGTGTAAAGGTTGAATGGTTTTCTTTTTTTTTTTTTTTTTTTTTTTTTTTTTTTGTGAAGGAGTCTTGCTCTGTTGCCCAGACTAGAGTGTGGTGGCATGATCTCGGCTCACTGCAACCTCTGCCTCCTGGGTGCAAGTGATTCTCCTGTCTCAGCCTCCTGAGTAGATGGAACTACAGGTGTGTGCCACCATGCCTGGTTAATTTTTGTATTTTTAATAGAGATGGGGTTTCACCATGCTGGCCAGAATGGTCTTGATCTCTTGACCTCATGAGCCCTGCCCTGGCCTCCCAAAGTGCTGGGATTACAGGTGTGAGCCACTGTGCCCAGCCTGGTTTTCATTTTTAAATAATATTTATCACAATACAGAAAAATTGCACTGCAAAACAAAAGAATGTTGAAAAGCATTTCAAATCCTTTATGTTAGGACTTTATGGCTTTTTATGTAAAAGCAATTTCTCTCCTGTGCATTAGGTGATACTATTATTAAAATTTTATTTAGTGGCAATTAACTGCTATTTTCCACTTGCTATTTTTATTTCATTTAAAACAACTTCTCTTAAATCTCATTAAACTTATTTAAAAGCTGAAACAGATATATAACACCAAAATGATTTTGAGAAAAATAATCTATCAATGTAATAAGAAGCATTTTCCAATATTCATTTCAATTCAAAAATAAAGTAAATGACAAACTGTCTCCAAAAAATCATGCTGCTTCCAATTATTTAAGTACATACCTCTCCTTCCATGTGATAAGCATTTTCCACTCTCCTAAAATCCTTTGTCACAGTTATATTTTCTGCCTGAAACAGAAAGAGTCCAAGAGAATGATTACTATCTGCTTGACGCAATTACTCTAAAACATAAATTAGAAACATAAACTAATTAAAATCAGAAAGATATAAAGTATGTAAAAGAATTTTGCCTGATGTTTTAGAACTTCCCTAAAAGTGTCATAAAATAAATTCAGAAATCTGTAAATATTTACTTAAAATTTCATAAATGTCACTCCTTTTATAATTTATATTTGCTTATAAAGGAAGTATGAACATATGGTGATATATACAAGCAATTGTTTGCACATAAGCTATACTTAATGTTGAGTGTCAAAGTTTTAAAAAATAATTTACAAATTATTTAATACAAAATTACCTAATACCTATCATGTGCAACTCTGGGCAAGTTACTCAGTTTTTTGAGCCTTAGTTTCCACATTTATAAAATCAGATTAATATATACCATATATAGCATCATTTTGTGGATTTAATGAGAAGATGCGTATCAAGTACTTGGCATAGAGAAGGCACTCACCAAAAGTGGATGCTATACCACTATGATATAAATATTTCTTGAAACATATACCTGAGCCACTTTGGTATTAATAGTAGTATTAATAAGAATAAATAAGTAATATTAATACTTATTTATTCTCAGGGTAAATACAGGGCATATAATTCTTACAAAAAAGTTAAATTTCTTATCTATTTTCCAAAAGGGAATTCAGTGAATAAAACCTTCAGCTACTCACATTCTTGGGGACAAGCAAAATATATTTTATATAATTTTTTGTATCTTTCAAAATATATGCCAAATCAATGTATGATGATTATGCCAAATAATTTAATTATGTTATTTGAAGGAGACATGGTTGAATCTAAATTTTATTATATAAACTAATTAAAAGTGGTTTATGTTATCCAGAAAAATTCTAAAAAGTTTAACCTAAGTTAAAAGCTTTGACTAAAGTTCCAAGTATGGCTCTGATGTCTGTCAGTCCCATAAAATATTAATGCAATATTTTTTTATGAAAGTACTATAGTACCTCGTCTAAACTAAAAAGACGTTAGTAGATTACCATTAACAAAAATCCAAACTTTGGATTTCACCAGTTTTTTTTTTTAATTAAATGTCTTTTTACTACTCCAGGATCAAATTCATGATACTGTATTCCATTAATTCAAAAAGTCTTGTCTCCTCTGGTCTCCTGACAGTTTCTCAGTCTTTCCTTGTTTTTCATGACCTTGAAAATTTTGGTCATATATTTTACAGAATGTCCCTCAATTTGACATTGTTTGATGTTTTCTCATGATTACACTATGGTTATAAATTTTAGGAAAGAATATCATAGAGATGAAATGCCTTTTTCATCACAACACATCAGGCTGTACATGATATCCACATGACACTACTCAAGATACTAACATTGGTCACTTGGGTAAGGTAGTGTATGCCAGGTCCTCCACTGTAAAGTTACTATTTCCCCCTTTCTATACTTTATTAACTGGAAGCCTGTCACTAAGTGCAGCCCACACTCACTCAATAAATACTACTTTTTTTGTTGCTCAAATTGTTCTAGCTTTGGCCATTGGGACTTCTTTCAGGTTGGCTCCTATATCTGTTTGATGTACCCCTTTCCTTTACTTTTTGAGCACTTTCTTAACTTTCTGTTACAAGATGTTACAGGCTTATGTAGTTTCCCTGCCCCAGTCCTAGAATAATGAGACTGCTTACTGCTTTTGGTGTATCATTCCTTCTAGGCTCTCTCAGTGGACAGAGCTAGGTTTTACACACACACACACACACACACACACACACACACACACACTCACATATAAAGTTTTCTGTATTTTTCCATTTGTATAATACACAAAGCTAAACATGAGTTCACACCGATGTTTCCAACTCTAATCCTGAATTGCAGAATTCATTCTAAACTTCCATTTTTATCTGTAACTTTCCTCTCTGATAGTGACAAAGCTGGCTCCCATCATCCAATATCCACTTACTTATTTGTTCAATCCCAGAATATATGTAAAGTAGTTTCTGACTTATTTACCAACTAGAGCATAGAGTTTTTGTATCTTTATTCTTCATCCTTATAATTTCCAGTCAAAATACAATTTCCCAGTAATTTAGGACACTTCCTGTCCTATCACCTTAAGCACAGTTATGTCACTCATTTGTAAAAACTAGGTTCATTTGTCAGAGAATAAATTTTATCCTGGGATTGATCCTATGATAGGCTCTTTGATGCCTTTTTTCCCCAGTTTACATACATCAGGCTTCACTAATTGTGATTTACAGCTCTATGAGGTTTGACAAATACATAAAGTCATCTCTGTACCTTTCCAGTACCATAAAGAATAGTTATTTCCCCTCCCATCAGATACCTCCCTCGACACATAGGGATTACAATTCTGGATGAAATTTGAGTGAGGACACAGAACTAAACCATATCAATAGGGAAGCACAAATCATAATGATAGCAATCTCAATAGCCAAAAAATTATATTCATAGGGATAAAATTAAAAAGAAACATGCAGATAATCATAAAACTTTTTAAAAAGTCTTTAAAAATCTTTTGGGAAAATATCCCATCTATTCAATATAAATTTTATTTATTTTAGATTCAGAAGGTACATATGCATGTTTGTTACATGGGTAAACTACGTGATGCTGAGGTCTGGGGTACAACTGATCCTGTTGCCTAAGTAGGGAATATAGTACCTGCTTACTTTTTCTTTCTTTCATTTTTTTTTGAGACAAAGTTTTACTCTTGTTGGCTGGGCATGGTGGCTTATGCCTATAATCCCAGCACTTTGGGAGGCCATGGCAGGTGGATCACCTGAGGTTGGGAGTTCAAGACCAGCCTGACCATATGGAGAAATCCCATCTCTACTAAAAATACGAAATTAACTGGGCATGGTGGCGCATGCCTATAATCCCAGCTACTCAGGAGGCTGAGGCAGTAGAATTGCTTGAACCCAGGAGATGCAGTGAGCTGAGATTGCACCACTGCGCTCCAGCCTGGTTACTTTTTCCACCACTTCTGTGCTCCCTCCCTACTTTTGAAGTTCCCAGTGTTTATTGTTCTTATCTTCGTGTCCATGTGTACCTAATGGTTACTTCTCACTTAGCGAGAACATGTGGTTTTCTTTTTCTGCATTCACATAAAATAATGGCTTCAAGGCTTATCTATATTGCTGAAAAGAACATGATTTTATTCCTTTTTATGACTACATAGTATTCCACTGTGTATACGTATCACATTTTCTTTACTCCATTGTTGATGAGCACCTGGGTTGATTCCATGTCTTTGCTATTGTGAACAGTGCTGCAATAAACATACAAGTGAGGGTGTCTTTTTGGTCAAACAATTTATTTTCCTTTGGGTATATGCCCATCAAAGGGATTGCCAGGTTGAATGGTAATTTTATTTCTAGTTCTTTGAGAAATCTCCAAACAGCTTTCCACAGTGGCAGAACTAATTTACATTTCCATCAAGAGTGTATAAGCACTCCTTTTTCTCTACAATCTTGTCAATATCTGTTATTTTTTGACTTTTTAGTAATAGTTACTTTTACTAGTATGAGATGGTATTTCACTATGGTTTTGATTTGCATCTGTTCAATTAGGAATGCTGAGCACTTTTTCATGTTTGTTGGCTGCTTCTATGGCTTCTCTTGAGAAGTGTCTACTCATTTCCTTTGCCCACTTTTTCACAAGATTATCTGTTTTCTTCTTGTTGATTTATTCCTTATAGATTCTGGATGTTAGACCTTTGTCAGATCCATAATTTACAAATATTTTCTCCCTGTCTATAGGCTTTCTGTTTACTCTGTTGATAGTTTCATTTGCTGTGCAGAAGCTCTTTAGTTTAATTAAGTCTCATCTGTCTGTTTTTTATTTTGCTGCATTTACTTTTGGGGTCTTCATCATAAATTCTTTGCCTAGGTCAAAGAATTTGAAGAGAAGAGTATTTCCTAGGAAACCAAAAAACTTTACAGAAAAACAAAGCATTTAAATAAATGGACTGGGATACAACATTGTAAAATTAGCTGTTATGCTGAAATTAATTTGTAAACAATGCAAAATATAAACAGAAATTTTATTTGTTGTATAGAAATTTTCCATCATCTGGAATTTCTGACTATAGTTCCATGTTGTCACTTAACATGTCCCTCTGTTCCTTGCAGACAGGGAATTTTTTTCAGAAGAGTAATGAGGGGAGGACTTGCCCTACAAATGTTTTATAAAGATAATAATTTAAACAGTGTCGTACTAACACAGGACCATAACAAGGATCAAATGAACTAATTAATTCTGTAACTAATTCAAGAACATCTGAAGATTACAAATAGCAATAACCAGTAACATTTCAAAGCAGTAGGTACAACAAGGAATACAAAATTCTCGTGTCATACATTCTTCTCCTCCTCCCTCTGAGAAGTAACTATGTGATTTAGGGTAAGCCCTAATAGGTCTAAACCATTTAGGATGATCACATTTGATTTGCTACAGGATTAGGCTCAAAGATGGACAGAAATCTGAATCTAAGCTAATTAGTCTGGCATTTCTCTGGCCACAAAAGTTAAGTTTAGGTTTTCCATTTACAGTGAACTGTAGGATTAAAAAAAAAAAAATGTGGTTTCAGAAAACAGACTATTGTTTTTAAGCTACAGTATAAAATGTAGGGCTTTGGAATGTTGTAGCCATTTTAGTATCATGCAGGAAGATGAGGGTAAAACCAACGGAACTACATCAAAATATGTAGAGCCTTGACGATGAAAACCCATATTACAGCTTGACTTTTCAATTATGTAAAGCAAGGTTCTTGCACATGTAGTAAGGGAAAGACAAATTTCAGTAAATGGTGTCAGTACAGCTACTTACCTATTTAAGAGAAAACAAAACTCTTATCCTTATACCAAAGTAAATTCCAAGCACAGCACACATATCTAATGCACTACAAAGGTTCCTCAAGAGTCCAGGAAATACTAGTTAATAGTTCTATTGGGCAAG